TCTTTGAACTAAAGAATGTGTAGTTGAACTCCCCTTTCTCAGATGTACATCTCATGCAGCAAAAGTAAAGAGAATCCACTGTATTGCACCGCAAAATATGTAAAGTAATTATATACATCTAAAACGTTTAAATGAGAGAAGAAACTGAGTCGGGATACTTTTTGTGACCACCCCAGAAATTCTAAAAGTTTTAGATACTTCTGTTATGAGGCCAAGGTGAAGCTGCCACCACTTTTAGCTACATTTCTTATGACGCCACCATCTCAAGCTTCCACCAGTTGTTTTCTCTTTTCTTCTACTTGTCAATTGGAATTTAGGGGGCAAGGGATAACTAAATGCATAGGTTCTTGAGAACATGAAAATTTGGACAAAACGATGGAAGAATAATAGTATAACCAAAGTGGTTTGTGAAATCTTGATACTGCTCGAAACAACTTTGAATGCGATTGACGATATTTTGTTCTTAGTCTCACTAATAGTTCAGTAGTAATAGTAGAGAAAGCAAGTTAATAGTTCCCTATGGACGACATCAAATAGACATGTTACGAAGTGTCGTTCGTATTCCATGCGGGTAGAGAGTTAAAAAATCTCTTGGTAAACAGAAAAATTAAAATGATGTATACATTAGTTAACTGAGAGTTGGTATTACATGGAAAATGCGTGGTGTAGCAGTCAAAAGGTTTGCAACAGGGTAGTAAATAAAATGAACTTCAAAGGATTGCAAATTAGCAGGGTGAATAATAACTTGGATACAATGTATGATTACCAAAGGACATTGACATATTAGTTACTCGTATTATTATTAGCCAATTACGTAAAACGTTTCAAGGACAATACCATGATTTCAATAATTTGACAGTTGTAAAAGTCTAAGTTTACTACGTTAGAGAAAACGTCTACATTTAATCCTTCAGCTTACTAAGTAAAAGCATATCTGATTAGTTAACACAAGGAAAACAATATGGTTTTAATAATCTGTCAATCGTGGAAGGATAAGTATGAAATGACACTCCTACAGTTCAAGGAAAGGTCTAAAGTGTTAACTTAANGTAAGTATGGAAATGACACTCCTACAGTTCAAGGAAAAGGTCGTAAAAGTGTTAACTTAACGAATGAAAATACAATCGAGAAGAGACGTTTCACGTAAGAGAGCACTTAAATTAAAAGGTAAACAAAGACCAGAAGTACTCACCTATTCCAGCCAGCAAGCAGAGACACTAAAAGGAACAGAGCAGTAAGCCAGAAAACCCAAAGCAGAACAGAAGCTCTTGCAGATATTATTAGCGTCACCCCTAATCGGATATCCATCCAAATACAGGTGTTACACATCTGGAGAAACAGCTGACAACAGCAGAAGCAAGAACTGGTTTGTCTTCCACGTCGATGGAAAAGGCGCATATCAAAGAGCGGGCAAACTGAAAAGACTGCTACAGAAAATACAAACTGAGCAGAGTGACAAATATACCCCGACTTTTGATCCAAAAAAAGGGACCTAACTGTAAATCGGAAGCAGGAAGACGAAGAGTCCAACCTGAAGTTGAAGACGATTCTTCTGCTGGATGAAATCCCGAAATTACCCTTTTGGACAGCAAGCAGGACGACGAACAAGCCCTTAACTCCCACTTCTAAATAGTAGTATATCTCGGTCCTTTTTTGGGAACAAATTGGTCTTTTTGATGCTCTTATTATTTGGGTTATTAAAAAACATATATTAAACTACAAAGTACTCCAAGTTATTTGCCCTTCCTTTTAATGAAATTTATTACTTTACCAAAAAAATACAAAGCAGAGGCGCACGTTACACATGGAATAGCTAACGTACGCCTACTCCGATGATCCGCCGAAAACGACGCAACGACATAAACCTGGATGTAGACATGAAGGTGAGCTCAGAAAACAGAATGGTTATGCCGGAATCTGGAGTTCCCCAAACCCTAGAACCGCCTCAATATGTTCACTAGATGCAAGGAATGGGGAGTACTCCCACAATTTTGCAAGCTCCGACGAAAGAGGAACCAGTGAAGGTGAAAGAAGCTCAAAAACCAGAAGAGGCAGATGCGAACTTGGAAGCACGAAAACTTACCTTCTCAGTCGAGTCGCATGAGGCAAAGATTACCCTAGCAGATGTGGTACGAGGAAATCGATCCATACATCAGGGTTCGAAACTTGAGTACTACCCGCCGGTTATGAAAGAAGGGATAAAAGTGGTCTGACTCAATCAAATTGAAGTAGAAGAGGAAATCAGAAAGTGGAAATCAAGCTTGATTGGGTATGTATTAGGTGGGTCGCCGACATTTAAGGACATGCTGAAATTCGTCTATGGAGTTTGGCAATTTGTGGACACACCACAGGTATACCTTCATGATGATGGATATTTTATATTCCGCTTCCTGAATGATGAATATAAGAGGAAGGTGTTAGAGTATGGGCCTTATACTTTCAACAATCGACCTATGATCCTAAAACAATGGGAGGCAGTGTTTGATATTAGAAAAGAAACTAATCGAATTGTTCCTACTTGGGTAACGCTACCTGGGCTGCCAATTCAATACTGGGCAACTGAAAATTTGGGCAGAATAATATGCACTGATAAACTGACTGCACAAGGGGACAGAATCTCATATGCTAGAATACTGGTGGACATAGATATCTCTCAGCCTCTCCCTGAGCATATACTAATTGAGGATGAGAAAGGGGGACTCAAAGAGCAGCAGCTGGAATATGAGTGGAAGCCTGCCTATTGTCAGGATTGTCTACAAATAGGACATACGACTGGAAAATGCAACAAGGAACAAGAGAATGAAGCTCTACATGAGAAGGGTGAAGAGCAAAACCGGAGAAGAAGAAGACAAGGACAGAAAAAACAGCAAACAACCCAATGGAAAGTGAAAGACAATAAGACTCAACCACCAAAACAGGAACAACAAAAGGTAGAAATCCCTAAGCAGACTGAGGAACAAATGAACAATGATGAACAGGGCAGAATAGTGAAGGGGAAAATAAGAATGGTGAATCAAGAAGATGAATGGAAGGAAGATGATGAAGAAGTAGAAAGGTTGCTAAGCAAAAACAAATTCAGCTCATTGAGAATTCAACCAAAAGAGAATTCCAAAAGTTTGGAAAGGGACACTAGCACCTCTGATATGTTACCCCCATGATAGTCTGTTCATGGAACATCAGAGGGCTAAATAAGCCCTTTAAGCAGAAGGAACTCAAGGCCTTCCTGCTTAAGAATAAAGTGTCCATAATAGGATGCCTTGAGACAAAAGTGAAAGAGAATAAAGTAGCTAAAGTGAAAAGGAAATTTGAAGGAGATGGACAATCTATGCCAATTATACTGTAGCTCCTAAAGGGAGGATTTGGGTGCTGGGGAAAGATCATATAGTAGAAGTCCAGGTGGTTATGGCAAGTCATCAGATGGTCCATTGTATTGTGAAAGAAAGATGTTCTGATTTCTCATGTGAATTGACCTTTGTCTGTGGCTACAATACTAATGCAGAGAGGAAAGAAATGTGGAACCAGTTAAGAAGACTTCACAACAACATAAAAGACCCATGGTTAGTGATGGGAGATTTTAACACAATTCTATCAGTCACTGATAGAATAAATGGAAACCTTGTAAATCAAACAAAAGTGCAGGACTTTCAAAATTGCATAACTGATTTGGGCTTAGGACAGCTGAACAGGAAGGGGTGGCAATGGTCTTGGTGCAATAAACGAGATGAAATAGATAGAATCTATAGTAACATTGATTGGGTGTTTGGGAATCCTCAATGGTTCATGCTCCATAGTGAGATTGAAGCTTACTATGATTGCCCTGGAGTTTCAGACCACACACCAATTATTATTAGCACATACAAAACCAAGCAAAGGCTGCCCAAACCAATTAGATTATTTAATGCCATCCTAAACTAGAAAGAATTTACAAAAGTAGTACAACAGGTATGTGGACAGAAGATAGAGGGGTATGCTAGGTACTCAGTGTGGAGAAAATTAAAGATGATTGAGTAGAATGCAGAACACATGAACAGAGAGTTATCATCCTTGGATAGGAAGCTGAACCTTATGAGAGCTGAACTAGAAGAGGTACAGCTGCAGATGGGAACTGGCTTATTCAAGGGTCAGTTAATCACCAAGGAAAAAGAACTACTACAATATATAGAAAAATGGGAAGGTATTCGGGAGCAGGTCTTAAGGCAAAAGTCTAGGGCCACTTGGATCCAAGCTGGGGATTCAAATTCAAAGTTCTTTCATGCCCAAATAAAAGCTAGGCAAGCTCGAATTCTAGGGTCTATATGTAATGATCAAGGTATCAGGTTGACTGAACCAAAGCTGGTGGAAAAAGAGTTTGTTCAATTTTTTCAGAAGCTATTGGGAACCAGTGCAGATGAACTACCTTGTCTTGATATCAACATTTCTAAGCTTGGTCCTTGCTTAACTAAAGAACAACAAATGGTGATGCTGAAACAGATTACAAGGGAAGACATTGCTCAGGTAGTTAAAGAACTACCAAATGATAAAGCCCCGGGCATTGATGGATACACAGCTGAATTCTTTAAGCACTATTGGGAGGAAATTGGTACAGAAATTACAGAGGCAGTATTGGAATTCTTTGCAAGTGGGAAATTATTAAGGAGTATCAACTGCACAACAGTTAACTTGGTGCCTAAAGTAGCAAGTCCTACCTATGTAAAAGAGTACAGACCAATTGCATGTTGCACTACCTTGTACAAGGTGATAGCTAAAATCCTCACAGAGAAGCTGAAAACAGTAGTAGATTATGTGGTAGGACCTGCACAGTCTGCATTTATTGAAGGGAGGAACATATTGGATAATATAATACTGGCACATGAATTAGTCAGAGGTTACACATAAAAAGGTGTAACCCCAGATGCTTAATCAAGATAGACATAAGGAAGGCATATGACTCAGTAGAATGGCCATTCCTAAGAATGATTCTGTTAGAATATGGTCTGCCAGTAAAGATAGTAGAACTAATAATGGAATGTGTTACAAGTGTGAGTTATTCCTTGCTTCTCAATGGGGGTTTGACAGCCAAGTTCCAGGCAAGAAAGGGATTGAGACAAAGGGATCCTATGTCCCCCTACTTGTTTGTTTTAGTTATGGAATACCTAAATAGAAGCTTGAAGACTCTTGATCAGATTCCAGACTTTAACTACCATCCAAGATGTGCCAAACTCAAAATAATACATATTTGTTTTGCAGATGATTTGATTATGTGTTGCAGAGCTGATAGAGTATCAATACAGTTAATGCTAAAGGCATTCCATCACTTCTCTGAAGTATCTGGGCTGCAGGCAAATATGGAGAAAAGTTCTTTTTATGTGGCAGGAGTAACTGAGGAGTTCAAGAACTTGATACTTTCTGAAATGCATTTTACATTAGGAGAATTCCCATTCAAGTACTTGGGAGTACCACTGTCAACAAAGAAGTTAACAATAGCTCAATGTATGCCACTGGTAGAAAAAATCACAGCAAGAATCAAGTGCTGGACCACCAAGTTTCTATCATATAGTGGCAGACTGCAAGTGATCAAAAGTGTACTATTCGAAATGCAAACATATTGGGCACAGGTATTCCTAATTCCAAAGAAGATAATTCACATGGTTACTATTGCTTGTAGGACATTCCTCTGGACAGGAAGCACTGAGATTTCAAAAAGATCCCTGGTAGCATGGGAGAAACTTTGTATGCCAGGTTCAGCTGGAGGGTTAGGGATACTGGACTTTTACTCTTGGAATAAGGCTGCATTGTGCAAGATACTATGGGCCATCAGTACAAAAAAGGACATACTTTGGGTGAAATGGATCCATAATTTTTATATTAAGAATAGGAATATCAGCACAATGGCAACACCAAAGCAAGCATGTTGGATTGTCAGGAAAGTGTTTGATACAAGAGAATGGTTCGAGGCTATAAGTGCAACAGGAGACATCAATGAATTCTGGAAACAAGGGAAGTTTAGCATCAAAACAATGTATACAGCATCAAGACCTCAATATCACAAAGTCACTTGGAAGAATCTTATGTTGGGAGACACCACCATACCTAGGCATCGATTCATTCTATGGCTAGCTCTCAACCACAGGTTGGCAACAGTGGATAGATTGGCAAAATGGAAGATTGATGTGCCAAATGAATGTGTATTATGTACTAGCCAGAAAGAAGAGACGCTGGATCACCTTTTCTTTGAATGTGTTTATACTAAATCCATATGGACAGCATTGCTAGGATGGTTGAAAGAAAAACATAGCGTTGGAAGCTGGGAACTGGAATTAAAATGGCTGACTAAGAGGACAAAAAGCAGCAGACCACGAGCTCAAGTCATCACATTTCTTTTTGCAGCAACAGTATACTACACATGGATGGAGAGGAACAACAGAAGATTTCAGAATCAGTTTGTTACATATGCAGATAGAGTTCGAGAAATAGCCTTGCAGCTGCATATCAAAGGCCAGAACAGGAGCAAATGGAAAGCAGTACTAGAACAGTTGAATAGATATCCTAGCGGGAACAGTGTATAAATCAGGGAGAGAATAGGAAAGTACATAACTATAGTTATGAGAATAGAAAATCTGTAAAGGATCTAGCTCTAGAGTCCCATGGGCTAGCGGATGTAAATATTTCCATTGGTTAAATACAAGTTTAATTTGACCCAAAAAAAAAATACAAAGTACTCCAAGGTACACTTCTCAAGAAGTTATCTATTTGTCCTTTTGTAGTATTACTGACCTCTCCTTTACCAATGCAAATCTTCAATTATATATAGTAATGACAAAGCAGTATATTTGTGCCAACTTTTATTTATCCAACCCATAAAGAGCAACTCTTCTTTTTGATTAATATAAGAGAAATAAAGAAAAAAGAAGCAGCACATTTCAAATGCTGCCCAGTCATGCATATCAGTGGATTTTACATGACAACATGGGAATGTGGTATTCTTTGAGTCTTGAAATATAGGAACAAAAATAAAGCCATAAGACCATCTCCAATCCAATACCAATTTTGACATCAAACACCATTTTAGTATAAGATTTGGTATTTTTTTGCTCCAACCCAATACCATTTCTTACACCATTTTGGTGCGTGAATAGTGTTACACTAAATTTGGTGTAACACTATTCATCAACACAATTACTATTCACTATTATTTTAATATTATCTTTTATTATATAACACTTTTAATTTTACATATTATAATTTTATAATTAATTATAGTTTTTATGTAATATCTTTATAATATTAATTTATTTTAATTTTGGTGTATAATTTTATAAATTAATTTTCGTATATTTTATTTTTATATAAAATTGTAAGTTAATTTTACTATAATTATAATTGTATAAAAATATATAACCATCAAAAAAAGGAAAAGTGCAAAATTGAAATATAATATATTGTTAATAAATAACACAATGTTCACTGATTATCATAAAAATAAATATTTAATACAATAAAATAAATATTTAATACAAGAGCGGATGACATAGATTAAATTAAAAATACATTAAATAACATAATGGGATGAGAAAATTACCGATTTGAATAATTTTTAGCTCGGCGCAAATAAATTAAGAACAAAGATGCTCATTTTTCACTTCGTAATGCATTAATAGAGCATTTTTGGGAGCAACATACTAATCTTGTAAGTTGAATATTTATATAAAAAATAAACTAAATTTTACCATAATGTAACATTTATTTAATTATATCTTATCAAGGATTTCATTTTTATTTGAATTATACATTAATATGTATAATGAAAAATATTTGCTTATAATTTATATTTATTTAAAAATTAAAGGTATAAAATAATTTTATATTAAATGGTTATATAAGAAAGAAATATGAATTATATGGGATAAATGTATAAAAAAGAAAAAAGAAAGAATTTATTTTATAAAGAAAATAATATAATATAGAAGAGAGGGAAGAATATACAAAGAATATTCTTTTTGGTGTTAAAAATACTGTAATGGGGAGTTACTTTGTATCATTTTGGTGTAAAAAAATGGTGCAAGGATTGAAGATGCCGTAAGGATGTGACTGTAATTATATAGAGCTGATTGAATGTAGCAAAATGATCGAAGCAGAAATCTTCATCTTTTACAAGTTCCACCTTCATGTATGAAGTTAGGGATATAAATAGTCATTTTATTGTATTGCTACAGAGTCACTGTAACCAGAGCTCTTTGCCGTTTGGCAATATTAATACTCCCTCCAGTCCAAAATAAGTGATTTTTTAGATGTTTTCACACAGATTAAGAAATTCACCCTTTAGCATTAATTAGCAATGAAATTGACCATATTAACCTTTGTTATCACTTCACATAAATACTCCTAACACATACTCCAACACTATTTACTCCAAGGGCAATGTAGGAAAAAAATAATTAATTCATTCTTGAAATCTGAAAAAATCACTTATTTGGAACCACAAAAAAAAGGCCAAAAAATCACTTATTTTGGAGCGGAGGGAGTATTAAGCAGTGACATCAAGCATACATGCTTTACCCACTCCAATCATTGTTTGTGATAAATTGGTTCCCCTAGGCTACTATTCATGTCTCTGTCAAATAATGATTTTCTATGCACCAACTTGGGTATGTTACATGTACTAATTGTCATAGCTATTTAATAATGGTTTCATTTCTCCTTTTTTCAGTTTGCTGTTTGATACCATGGAATAAATTTTGAAGTACAAGAAATATGGAAGTCGAAGGGAAAGCAGGAAGCAAAGATTCCCTATGGACCTGCTTTTGCCTTTTTTTTTTTTTTTTTTTTNTTGGTTTTGTCAAGCTTGTGTAAACTATTGTTACATTGTTGCTACAACGGGTAATTCATGTTTCAAAGCTAACACGTCTAGGGGTCGTTTGGTAGCCTGTATAAGGATAATAATCTTGGTATAAAACCGTGTTTTAGTTATACAGCGTTTGGTCGTGATTCTCAAATCCAAAATTAATCCATGTATTTATTTTATACATCAATCTCTGTATAATTTTATCCTTGATGCAAGGTGGAATAAGTAATACATATGTATTAGCTATACCTGGATTAATATTCACAAAGACCAAAATATCCCTTATTTAACACATTTCGTCTCAGATGAAATCAACATCTGCTCCATCGTTTGTTTCTCCCTGTTCTCCGGAGCCTTAAAACCAGAGGCGTCTTGATAGCTTAATTGCAGGAATTCATTGAAAGAGCTCGATGATCAAGCAGCTGATTCAGGAACTTAGCGGAGAAGTTCGAGAATTTCAGCAATGGCGATGAGAAAAGTTGTGGGTTTGAGAGAATTATGAAAGAAGAGAGTATTTAGAAAAATTGTAATGGAAATCTTGTTCATTTCTGTATATTACAATGTACTTATATGAAGTGGAACGAATACAACTTGTCTAACAGAATTTGTTCTCCTAACAACTCGTGTAACTAACCCCAACTAACTTCTGCTTTGTTTCCCTTCTTTACCATACTTCTTTGTAGTATAGCCTCTGGGTTTGGACAATCAGTAGTGGGAGGGTAGGCAATTTGAGTGGGTAGTTGGTGGCATTTCTTTAATAGTGACACATGAATGGTCGGGTGTATTTTGACTGATGATGGAAACAGTAGGGTATATGCAACTGGTCCTACTCGTTTGGAGATCTGAAAGGGTCCATAATACTTTCCTGCCAATTTGTAGAATGGTTGTGCTGACACAGTAGCTTGTTTATATGGTTGGATCTTCAAATAAACCCAATCTCCAACTACAAATTGTCTGTCGCTCCTGTGAGCATCCGCTTGTGTTTCATCCTTAGTTGAGCTCTCAACAAATGGTGTTTGAGTAGTTGAAACTTCAGCTCCCTATTGATCAGTGTATTCTCAACTTCAACTGAGGCCGATTCACTTGGTAAGTAAGTAAGATGCAAGGGCGAAGGTCTGCCATATAGAACTTCATAAGGGGTGGTTTTAATAGATGAATGGTAGGATGTATTGTACCAGTATTCAGCCATAGGTAGCCAAGAATACATTTAGAGTTGTCTTCATTACAGAAACATCTGAGATATGTTTCGAAACATCTGTTTAGAACTTCAGTTTTCCCATCAGACTGCGGATAATAGGCTGAGGAAGTGTTAAATTATACCCCTTGTATTGAGAACAGCTCCAGCCAGAATGAACTCAAAAACACTGCATCTTTGTCACTAACAATCGAGCCTGGGAGGCCATGCAATTTAACTATGTTATCCCCGAATACTTCGGCTACTGATTGGGCAGTATAAGGATACCTTAAGGGAATGAAGTGACCATACTTACTTAGTTTGTCCACAACCACAAGAATGACATCATAACCATGGGATTTGGATAACCCATCTATAAAGTCCATACTGATTTGTGACCACACCAAATCTGGAATAGGTAGTGGTTATAGAAGGCCAGGGTAGGCTGCTAGATCAAATTTGCTTCTTTGGCAAGTGTCACATCTCTGCACAAATAACTGGACATCCTTCCTGATTCCCTTCCAGTAAAACGGCCTTTTTAATGTTGCTTCAATGCCTGAACGACTTCCTTGTGGTGTAGAATGCCATAGCCCAATGTTATGTGTTCTCAGCTGCTGAATGTTGCCCACTACCAATTTCCCTTTCCTCCTCAATTGGTTGTGCTTCCAGGTGTACTGTTGTTGGGTTGAAGGATTAGCTGTTAGTTGCTCAATCACTGCTTTGAGCTCAGGGTCTGTCTCCCAGCTATCAATTATAGCTTACATCAGATCAAAACTGGTAGTAGATAGTACAAGGGAGAATAGTTCAGCTCCAGGCATTCTAGAAAGGGCATCTGCCACCTTATTTGTGACTCCACTTTTATACTCAATGACATAGTCAAAAGGCACAAGCTTGGTCAGCCACATAAGCTGAGAGTTTGTATGAAGCTTTTGTTCCATTAAGAACTTCAAAGCTCTTTGGTCAGTTCTGATGATGAACCTTTGGCCAAGCAGATATTGAGACCATTTAGTGACTGCATGAACTATGGCTAACAACTCTCTATCATACACTGAGAGTGCCATATGCCTGGTAGATAATGCCTTACTGATAAAGGCTATGGGGTGTCCTTGTTGCATGAGGACAACACCTATCCCATACCCGCTAGCATCAGTTTCAACAACAAAGGTTTTGTTAATATCAGGTAGTGCTAATACAAGAGCTTTTGTCAAGGCTTCCTTCAATTCTTTAAAAGCAACAGTAGCTTTGGGTGATCGTTTGAAGTTATCCTTCTTCAAGAGGTCTGTTAATGGTTTACCAATGATCCCAAAGCTTTGTATGAACCTTCTATAGTAGCCAGCTAAGCCAAGAAATCCTCTCAGTTGTTTAATGTTGGTTGGTATGGGCCAGTTTTTGACAGCTTCTATTTTTTGAGGATCTGTTGATACTCCTTCTTCAGTAATGAAATGGCATAGATACTCTATCATTTTAACTCCAAAGAAACACTTACTCTCCTTAGCAAACAGATGGTGTTTCTGTATTTCAAGGAATACAGATCTAAGATGCCCCAAGTG